GCCAGCCGCTCCGAGGGAGAAAGACGGGGATTTCTAATCCAGGAAGGCGTTACAGTCCCAGAAACCCACATCAGCAGCTCTGCCCTGTCCTTCAGTGTAGGAGCTACGAGGTGGAATTGACGCGATGGTAGTGAGTTTAAACAGCAACTCAATTGTCCTCTCAACCAGTCGTTTAAACTCCTTCCTTTCACATTTTCTAAATTTCCTTCTGTTCCGGGCTCTACTTTGGGACTTTCCCTTCTCTTCCACTCTCTTTGAGACATTATATTTCACTATCTGCTTGGACTCTCCCCTTTCTCTGCCCCTCAGGCTTTTCCTAGCTATTGATGTTTAATTTTTTTCTATTTCTATCATAAATGGGGGTTGAATTTCATTAAAAGACCATGCACCACCTATGGAGATAATCATATGATTTCTCCCAAAATATCTAAACATTTTTTGTTGTGTTAATGGATTTCCTAATTTGAATCTTTCACGAATTCCTGGAATTAATTGCAATTAGTTTTGATGTATTGTTTTGTTCCTGTGGCTTTGGGGGATTATTATTATTTTTTGTATCCATATTCATAAGTGAGATTAGCCTCGCATTTTCAGTATGCGTGGCATCTCTATTAAGTCTATGTGTAACCAATGCCATCTTTGCTTTATTTTGGTTTTCTTGCTGTAGGATAATTTACCTCACATTGGCTGCATAGAGATTTCTTAGAATTCTCCTGTGAACCATCTGTGTTCAGTGTTTTCAAAAGTTGGTGCTATTTCTATGTTACTCTTCTCCTCCTTATCTCTCTAATTGAGCAAATGTTTGTAAATCGTAATTTTTCAAGGCTTTACCTCTGTTTTTATATTTATTTGCACAAAGCCCTGCAAAGCTGTCTTTAACAGCTAGGCTGAGCTGGTCTTAAAGGAGCTGTGTTGGGGAAAACTCAAGTAGCTTTTTGCTTATACTTGACTGAGCCTAGTCCATCCAATCAGCGCGTTATGGAAGGATGAGCGTCACTCCAGCTCTTGGACCTTGGTCTGAAATAAATCTGCTACCAGTGTGAAGCCACTGTGGGTCTTCTAATACCCCTAAAGGAATATGCTCTTGCTCTCACTAGGGGTAATAACCTACCAGGGCAGATGTTCCCTTCACCCACTTTGCTCTGGTGTGCCAACCCTGATCCGGGACGCAGCTGAGAAACAGGAAGGAGGAACTTGCCATTGGCACAAGCACAGTTCGTACCAGGAAAGCCAGGGCCTCTGCTCAGAAAGGTCTCTGCTGTTGGGCCAGTTTACCCAAGCCTCAGCCAGCAACAGCAAGCGCCTGTTGTGGCAAAGTCACAAAACGCGTTGCCGATCACAAAGTGCTGCAAAGCATGACTTTCATCGGTCATTCTTCAACGTGTTGTCCTGAGAAAGGGTGACCTAGTGTCGCCCATGCTTTAAAAAGGTTTCCCTTAACCCGCATGCTGCTCCATCGACTACCATTTGGATCTGTCCCACTCTTGGACCTGTCCCACTCACATTCACATGTCTTTGAAGAGTCATTTCTTCCCCTCTCCCGAACGGAGCTTGTCAGTTCCGATTCTCTTAAGAGCCTCTCTATTCCAAATATGCATCGTCTAGTCCTCCACAGCCATGTTATGTAATTTCTACGTGATATCTCCACTGGATATATTTCAAGCAACTCAACCTTAAATGCTAAGGGCCCCTTATTGCGAGGTCAGCACTGTGAAGGTTGGCCACTTGAACTCACTCAGTGGTAGAGAGACCTGGGCATCGACATCCACATAGATGACAGCCCAGAAAACCCTGTGAAGCAGTTGTACTCTGTCCCATGGAACCACTATGGTAGCGCCTAACTTGTTACCAACTTAATAAAAAGCATCAACATTAAAAATAAGGCCCCGGCATGGTGCAAATGATTTGTGCTAGACTGTTAACCTA